CCAGTAGTCTGCTTGCTGTTTGAAGTTATATATATGTAAAATTAAAAAATTAATTTTGAGAAATTTCATATAGTAAATTTATTAAAATTTCTGAAAAGAATTGAACTCTTTCAAGGAATTTTATTAAAATTTTCGAAATTTAAAATTAAAATTATTGAATTGTTTTGAAGAATATTGTACAGTGAGTTCTCGCGAGTCGTTCAATTCTCGAAAATTTTCAAGATCATAAAACTCACGAGTCGTTCAACGCATAAGCCACGCCTCCAAGGCGATTTCAGGGATGTGTGAAACATATTTATCGCCCCGAAAGACACAATATTCAATGACTTTGGTCCGTTTAAATTACACAGCACTGAGCACCGGCGCGCGCATGCTAGAAATTGAACGACTTGTGAATCGGACACTGATCAGCTGTTGAACGACTGGCGAGTTTGAACGACTCGTGAGTTGAACGACTCGCGAGAACTCACTGTATTACAGTTATTTTTAAAAAAATTATACAATTCTTATAAAAAATTTTATCAACATTTTTTTTAAATAATTGAACTCCATCAAAAAAGTTTTATCAAGAAGAATTTTCTTATACAATATTGTTTCGAAGAAAATTAAAAATTGTGTTAAAAATAATTATTGAATAATTGTTTAATTAGTTTAGAAGTGAATTTTTCTAAAACAAAAATAAAAGTAAAAAATAAAAACAAAAAAAGGGGAAAAAAATTAAAATTAAAATAAAAAATTGAAAAATAGAAAAAGAAACATAAAAGCACAAAAAGAAAAAAAGACATGAAAAATGTAGAAGTAGAAAAATAAAAAATATAGAATCGAAAATAAAGCCAGAAAAGAAAGCGAAATGGAATAGAAAAATAAATAGTAGAAACAGAAAAATATAAAATACCGCATATAATTCTAATAGAATGTTACCAAGTTAGCTTAGTATACTTTACAAGCAGTCTACCAGTCGTTAAATACAATTAGCAGAAAAAAATTGATTAAAAAAATAATAATAAAAAAAAAATTAAAAAAGAATTAAAAAGTTAGACTATTATTTCAAGTAATAAGCGTAGGGGAACATAGTCTAGGTCGGCCACCTTTTTGACTTTTGTTTATAACTTTTTTTTAAAAATGAATTTGGACAATTGAAGTATATGGTTGGAAAGTCCTGTTTAATAGGAACATCTTTTCTGTACAAAGTAAATTGATTGGTTTTAAAATGAAAAAGTTATAAAGATTTAAAAAAAAAAAAAATTTGTAGTCGAGGTTGGCCATTACAGTCAAGGTCGGCCATGTTTAAAATTCAAAGGGCATTAATCGTTAAAAAATAAAATAACATGTTTGGAGTTACGGAATATTGATTCTTTATTGTTTACAGTTTGTAACTTAATAAAATAACAAAATAATAACAATAAACAATATAAAAAAATAAATATAAATAAAAAAAAATTCTGCACTAAAATATTAATAAAATTAAATAAAAATATTAATAAGATGATCAATTATATTATGAGTTATACAGAATTGCAGTTTTTGCAAATGAAGTAGCTCGTCCTCAACTTTGCGCATTTTAAACACATAGTGGCCGACCTTGACAGTAAGTAACATTACCGAATTGTTGTAACCATAAAGAAATACGTTTCGGGATTCGATTTTTTACTTTGTTTTCCTTTCAACCATGAGTCCCACAAATTTTCTGCATACTTGCCTTGACGATTCAATTTGTTTTTTATCTTTTATTAATGGTTTTTCACATTATGCACAAAACTTTTTTTGAGCTTTTTTTGTACCGACGTCACAGAAAACACAATTTTCGATCCTCCGAAAATGTAATTGAACAAAAAGTTAGGTTACACTAAGATAAGCTTCGACAAGCATGCGTGTAGGTGGCGCTAGTGAACTTGTCCAAAAAATCGCGATGGCCTACCTAGACAGTAGACCAACCTTGACTACATTCCCCTACTCCTTCTTTTTACTCCATAACATAAATTTGCTTAGTAACTAACACTGCACTATTCTTGAGTATAATCTTTTTTTTCTCTTATTCTTTTAACCCCCCATCGTTTTATAAGCGAGGCTTAAATCTTTTTCACTAGCCCATTTTTTTCTACTCTTTTCATTTTTTCCTTTTTGTTCCCTTAGCAGCATAAACATCTTTTTAGTGAATAAATTTTTCTACAAGTACATCGTTAAACTCAACGATGAGCGGGAAAAAAATTTTTAGAATTTCAACATACACTAAAAGTCATGTAAGCAATTTAGATATTCTTTTTTTAAAGCGCATTATATATCATGTTCATGCCACTGACACATTTTCGAATCGATTTACAAAAAAAAATTCTGCTTTCAACTGACTTATTACACTTTTCGAATTTATTCACTTTTTAATTCAATTAGTTTAATTTTTATATAAAAAATATAAAATTAAAAAAAATAATATAATTATAGTAACATTAATATTAATATAGTAATAACAATGCTAATAATAATTATCATAATAATAACTGCAATAATAGTAATAATAATATTATTATTTTTTTATTACTATGATTCTTATTATTTATTTATTATTATGATTATGATTATTATATATTATTATTATTATCCTCGTCATTAATAATATTATATTATTATTATTATTATAATTTTTTCAAGATTCAATCCTATTTGAAAGCAGAAAAAGTTATTAAAAATAAAAGCAAAAAAAAATAAAGAACTAAAAATAAAGACCTAGATTTTGTCAATACTAAAATTGAGTACCAGGAATCATTATAAATTTGAAAGTGTTGTTTTTAAATTCGCGTATAAATTACAATTGATCGACGGTTTTAGAGTGTTATTGATCGAATATATATGTGGTATTGATGATATAAATAGAACGCGATAAAAACGAGAATATTAATTAAGGTGCGACAATGCCACATAAGCCATACAGAAAATCACAATTTTCTCCCGAATCAATAAAAAATAAAAAAGGAAAAAAAAATCTCCTCCTACTCATAAATATCGAATAAATTTTATTGCCTTTTTTTCATTGTATTCAGCACCAGAGAATTATCAGAACGTACCATAATGATTTATTTGTTACGACAGGAAACGTAACAATAAAAAAAAATTGTTTTATTAAATTTTTTTAGCCTAGATTTCGCCTTTATTTAGTAGGCAATATGGCTTTTGTGAAAGTCAATTAGAAAGAAATTTAATAGTAGTTAATTTATATTCGTAAAAATTTTATTTTAGTTTTTATTCTGACTTTTCCCCTCATTTTAATTTGGCAGGATTTTTACTTTTTTCCCTGTTCACACGATGAAAATACTCTACTTTTTTAATAAATTTTTGTGGCAGTATTGTTGCTTTTTCCTTTTTTTTCTACTAATTAACACTTATTGAAAAACTTTTTTCGTTGATATAAACATTGTGGACTTCAACCTGGTAAGGTATGTCCACTACTAACAAATGTAATCATATTATTTCTATACTAATTTAGATTTAGAGAATAAGTTTTGTCATACTATTTTTGAAAAAAAAATTTAGAAATTATTTTATTTTTCATAATTTTGTTTTAATAAGTGATTTTTTTCAATTATTGCTAAAAATAACATTTTCGTTAAAAAATTACAATTTCTTTAACTTTTATAATTTTAAATATAAAATAATTCAATTTTTGCAAAGAATTTGCATAATAATTCAATTCTTTTGAGTAATATTTAATTAAAATTGTACTAAAAATAATTGAATTATTATAAAGAATTTTATTAAAATTTTTGAAAATAATTGAATTTTTTTGAGAAATTTTATTAAGATTGTTTTAAAAATAACTGAATGACTGCGATAATTTTTATTATTTCATGAAAATAATTGAACTCTTGTCAAGTATTTAAACAAAATTTTAAAATTCTTTTGAAGAATTTTATAAAAATTTTACAAAATATAATTAAATACTTTCGAGGAATGTTTTGTTAAAATTGTATTGAAAATAATCCGATTCTTTTAAGGAATTCAATTAAAATTATTTCATTGCGAAACTTTATTAAAAATATTTTTTAAATCATTGAATCGTTTTGATGCCCTAAAAGTTCTGAATGAAATTTTTATTGTAATCAGTAATTTATGAAAATATTTTTAATATCAAATATTTCTTCCATTTTATCGTTAAAAACATATATGTAGATCATTTGTTTCGAAGAACACTTTATGAAAATTAAAAAAAAAAATTAAATTCTTTCGGGATATATAACTAAAATTGTATCAAAAATAATTAAATTTTTTGATAAATTTGATTAAACTTGTATAAAAAATGAATTAATCAAAAATTTTTATACAAATTTTTGAAAATATTTGAATTTATGCAAAGAATTTTATTATATTTAAGAAAATAATTGAGTTTTTGTTAAAATTTGTTAAAAATAATTCAACTATTACGAAGAATGTTAGTAAAGTTTTTGAAAATATTTTATTTCTTAGGTATAAATAATTTTATCAAATTTTCGAAAGTAATTGTTAATTGAATTTGTTTCCAAGAATTAGTAAGGTTTTTAAAAATAATAAAATTCTTTTATGGAATTCAATTGAAAGTTTATGAAAAATAATTGAATTCTTAAATGGAATTTTATCAACATTTGTGCAAATAATGAAATTCTGCGAAGAATTCTATTGAAATTTCGAAAAATAATTGAATTATTTCGAGAAGTTTTATTAATATTTTTTAACAAAGTTTTGTGTAATTTACTTTTTAATATCAATTCGTTAGAATTTGATACTTTCGAGTTAACAGTGAAAATAATAAATAGTAATAATTACTTAGTTAAGTTTGTTAATATTATTTATGCTAATAATAATAAGAAGAAGAAGAAGAAGAAGAAGAAATTCATACTACGATTTTTCAATAAAAAAATGAAATATCCGTTGCGATTGACTTTTGAATAATATTCACCCAAAATTTGTACATATTGATGGAAAGATAAACAATAACAATAATTAATGTAATGATTGTTACAGGGTGAGGGGGCATGTTGGTCTGGCGGCGGTTGCTGATCGCAGCCGCGATCGCGGCCTCTGTCGGGGCCTCGGCTTCGTCCGCTAGTTTTCCCGACATTCCCGGGTATTCCGACTTTTCCGGTTATCCCGGCTTCTCCGTATTTGTCCGCTCCGCAACCTCTTCTGTTGGTCCATTCACCACAACGGCACCATCCTCCGGTTGCAGATTATCAGAGTTCCTCTGCAACACTGGCCACTGTATTTCGCAGGACAAATTTTGTGACGGCGAGGATGATTGCGGCGACAAATCTGATGAACCGAGATACTGTACCCGTAAGTTTCACACCAAATATAATTCAAAAAATATTTATTATTATAAAATATTTATTTCCAGATTTATAAATAAATATTTATTCTAATAAATATCTTATAACAATAAATATTTACTCTTAAAAAATATTTATTAATAATATACAATATCCGGCCTCGGACTGAATTTAGAAATAAAAATAGTATCAAAAGTGTCATAAAATGTTCGTAATAGTTGCAAATAGTCGCACCTTATTTATTCACAAATAATTGTATTTGAATAATAAGTGTTATAAATGTGCAGTAAAAACACAATTTAAATTATTCCCACAATAACATATTTTGCATTTTATTAATTATAAAATGTTTTTGAGGGACAAAACGAATTTCTCCACTTGAGAACGCCAAGGTCATCGCTAGGTGGCATTGAAACTAATTTTAACAACTCAACTGCCATCTAGCGGTGATCTTGGCGTTCGCAGATAGAGAGTAGCATCTCCATATTGAATCTCAAGATGTTCGTGCAGGGTTGCTACAAAAATATAATTTTGTATTTCCCTGGCTTTTCACTGATTTCCAGATAAAATTTTGACTTTTTCCCTGACCCTAAAGAATATTCTGATTCACTCTAAAAATTATTAGATACTCAAAATAAATGTTCATTTACATTTATTTACGAATTTCTTTAATTGTAAAATTACTCGAAAACATCAATAACTTCTTTCTTAAATAAATATTTAATCATTATTAATTTTTGCATTGAAATTAGAATTTTCAAAAATTTCAAATTTCAACTTTTCTGAAATACAACAACTTGTAAGAATATTATTATAAAACATCGGGAAATCGATCACTCCGAGTCCAAGACTCAAAGTGATCCATTTCCTCATTAATTATAAAGATGGCCTAGTGATAAAATCATTATTTTATATTATAAGAATATTATTACTGTAACTTCTTAAAAATTATTTTCATCATTTTAATTCATTTATTATTTTCTAGAATTTTTGACTAAAATTCTTCTTTAAATCAATTATTGTTAATAATTTTCAAAAAAGTTCTTTCAGATTTTTTAATTCCATTTGTTTACAATTCAATTTTAAGAAATTTTCCATGGAAATTCTTCAATTAAATATATATATTAGAAAATAAAACTTCAAATAATTTTAAAAAAATTCAATGAAACTTTTTCAAAAAAGTTAATTCTGCAAAATTATTAGTTAAAATTATGAAATATTCAAATTTTCAAAGAATTCAATTATTTAAATACAAAAATAATTAATTTATTGAATAATTCAATGTTTCTTAAAATTGAATTCTTATAAAGAATTTTATCATTAAATTTTTAAATAATTGAATTCTTTCGACGAATGTTAATAAAATTTTTAAGAATGTTTCAAGGGTTTCGACTAAAATTGTATTAAAAATAATTGAAATTCTGATATGAGTTTTATTATTTGTGAAAATAAGTGAATTCCTAAAAAGAATTTTATTATTATTGAAAATAATTGAATTCCTGTGAAATTTTTATTATTAAAATAATTAAATATTTTTGTAAAATTTTATTAAAATATTAGCTATTAAAAATCTTTGAATTGAGGAAAATTTTTGAAATTATTGAATTTCGGAGAAGAATTTTATTATTTTTAAAGATAATTGAAATTTTTTTGATGAGAATTTAAAAAAAATTTTGAACATAATTGAAATTCTGCAATGATTCATAACTCTTTTAAAATTCAATTAATTTTGAAATATATAATATATTTAATATTCATTAAATAGTTGATAAGTAATCATTTTATGATAGTTTTTCACGACTTAAGTTATATAAAAAGAAATTATTGTCAAAAAAAGGAAAAAAATTTAAATTTTGTATTAGAGTTCGTGGTAATTTCATAGTTCCTGACTTTTCTCTGAATTCCCTGACCTGTGGCAACTCTGTCGTAATTCTTTAATTATTTATAATAATCAAACATTGAATCAGACAGCCACAGTTAACTAAGAGAAATTAAAAAGCGTTGCTACTTAAATTAACGTCAAAAAGATTAAATTAATAAATTTTTGGATTAATTTTTTTCATGAAAAAATGTGTCTAAATAAAAAACAAATCACTTTTTAATTTTTTAAAAAATTCAGAAAAAATAATTCTTTGATGGAGTAAATCGTTGCAGATTATCTTAATCCATTTTGATGTTAAAATAACACCCTATACTAATTGTCTGTGAGTTTAACCATTAATATAAACGGATTTCAATTTATTATTTACTTTCCTTTTTCTATATTTTTATGGCTTCCGGATTTTTTAGAGTGCGTTAACAATAATTTCTTCACTAAGTAAATTGATATTTTAAATTCTTGGTTTAAAAAATAGTACAATTAATGGCTTTTTTAAAGAAATAAGTGTCATTAGTAAATTTACTTCTAAAGATAGTAGCTAAATATAGTTGTATGAGGTGAGTCCGAGGCCTGTAATATTTATTATATAATAAATGTTTATTACTATGATAAAAAATCAGTTTTCTGACGCAAAAATCAAAATTACAATTTTTCTTTTCTTGAAAACTATAAAAAGTGACCATTTTTGTTTAATTAAAAAAAAAGTATTACCCGTTTGAAAAATTTTTCAATGGGAAAAGCGGGTAAAAATATAAATTCAGGTCAGTTGTGTTTGCAAAAGCAGAACTCTAATAAAAATCTGTCAACATGGATAGATTTTGTTACTTTGAGAAAAGTTTTAGTCATATTCACATAGTCGTAAGTTTTCTACATGGCAGTAAAACTAACTCCCGCAGTAAAACTTGTTCGAGGCAAACTTGAGACACAATCCATATAAAATGTACGAATCTTGTGGTAACATAAATAAAGAACGTCTAAACGTTTGGTCGATTTTGATTTTTCTCAATATTCACACTAAAAAAAACTCTTTTTATAAACTTTTTTTAAAGATTTTCTTGTGTCACTTATAAAAAAAAACAAAAAAAAAACCAACAGAAAAAAGTTATTACAAGAAGAAAATTTCTTTTTCTAAATCATTCTCTAAAATGAAGAACTATTTTTTTATATAAAAAAGAGAAGAAAAAATTGATAAAATCGTGAAAAAACGTAAACAAATTATTATAAAATGAACATGCTTTTTAGACACGCACGCCTATAAAACACGACATTTATTTTGAATGAATTTCGACCGATAGAGTGGAGAATTCTAATTATAAAAGAAATATGAAAATAATGTCATAATTATTATGTACTTGAAACTAAAAAACAATCTAGAATCTAATTATTATGTAATTACTTTATAATAATTTAACAAAAAGATAGGTAAAAAATTCGAATTAAGACATAAATTAATAGAGTGAAAAAAGTAAAATAGAGAAAAATAAAAAGAAAGTCAGTTATTTTTTACTAATTGCCAAAGCAAAATATCAGCCAAGATTTTACAAACAATTAGTTATTTTTAACTAATTCAGATTTCGAGAGTTCTCTTATTTTTGTGGCGTATAAACAAAAAAAATATAGGTAATAATGTCTATCTAATTATTTTAATTAGCAAAGTTTCTTCTCTAAATATTGGATAAAGAAGAAAAGTACGAAAAAAACGATCAATCAAGTGCCAATCGAAACATTTCAAAAACCTAGAATTCCTAAATTAAATGATTGAAAACTTTAATAATTTTTTTAAATAATTTAAATACTTATATTGTTATTTATGTTTCCACAAGAATAGAACTTTTAAATAATTTCTTTGTAAAAGCTTTTGAAAATTAATTATAATTCTAAAAATTACAACTTTAATTCTTACAAAATTCAAATTTTTTTTAGAATTTTTAAATAAAATTATTCAAAAGTTTAATGATTTTTTAGGAAAATAATAAATTAAGAATTTTTCAAAATAAATATTTGAATATTATTTAACTTCTACAGCATTTGAAATTTTTCAAATCAGTTTTAAAACTCATATTTAAATATTGTTTATTTCTAAAAATATCTACTATAACTCTTCTATAATATTTAATTATTTTCTAAAATTGAAACTGAACTTCTTCGCTAAATCAATTTTTTTCGAAAAATTCTACGAAAATTTGTTTAACAAATAATTAATTTTTTTCAGAAGTTAAGTAAAATTTTATTTCTAATAATACTAATAATTTTTGAAAAATGATTCAATTTTCAAGAATAATCCAAGAATTATATTGAAAATTTTTTGAAATAATTGAATTCTTTATAGAAATTTTTTGTTAAAATTTTATTTAAAAAAATTGAATTACTACAAAGAATTTTATCATCAAAAAGGATTGAACTTTTGCCAAGAATTAAAGAAAAACATTTTTAAAAAAATTGAATTGTTTTGAAGAATATTGTATTAAAGTTATTTTAAAAAAAATTATACAATTATTTAAAAAAAATTTTATCAAGATTTTTGAAAATAATTGTCTTGCATAGAATTTTATTAAGAGTTTTTAAAAATTATTGAATTTTTTTCGAAGAATTTTATTAAAATTGTATTGTAAATATTAATTAAATTCTGCGAAGAATTTTATTGTTGATGAAAAGAATTGAATTTTCAAAAATTTTTATTAAAATTTTTAAAATTAATTAAATTTTCACATTCTATAAAATTTCAAGTGGATCAGCTGTTTTATTTGTCAGACGCCATTTTGTTTCTCGTAAAATTCTTAATGCAGCATAAAAAGTTTTCTAAATTTGAAGATTGAATTTGAAAAAAAATGTTGGACCTTTTAGTTTTTGGAACAAAGAATTATTGGAACTTTTGGCTTTTAGAACAAAGAATTATTGGAACTTTTTTATGGAGTGGAAAACCTGCAAACATAATCTCTCATTATCGAATTTTTAACTTTGAAGTTAATTTCAACTTGAATATTAATAGATTTTCTACTGAAAAGTTAAAATTTACTAAATGATAAATTTGATTTTAAAATTTAGTTCTACTAAATTAAAAGAATAATTATTTTACAAATGTAAAAATTAGAGAATGAAGAATATTGAAGAAAACTTAGTTTACAAGCGAAGAAAGAGAGAAAGAAAAAAAAGATTGGAAATAATGATCTGCAAAATGAAGGTTGCTTTAGTTTTATTTTTTTAATTTAATTACTTTCCCGTTTCATTTAATTACTACTCATTCCAGCTTGCAATCGAACTTTATACGGCGACGTGGGTCGAACCTATGAAGTGGAAGTTCGACGACCGAGGGAGGATCGACTGCCATTTTTATGCCACCTCAACTTCACTGCCGCCGGGGCCGATCACGGAGACCTAGTTCAGGTACTTTACCGTAAAACGCTATTCAATTGTCGCGTTTAAAAAAAAACTTAAGTTAGTTAATACATTTTTTTTCATTAAAACAACCCTCTCTTTTTTTCTTCAAACCCACAAAAATTTTCCTCTTTCTTTTAGTTTCACAAAAACTGAATTCAATGATCGAATATATAATTTTGCCAGAATTTTCTCTTTTCACGATTAATTAAACGACTTTCTAGTTCACAATTTATTAAAAGTTTCCATAAATATAAATTAAAAACAAAATTATATGTTTTTCCAAAAATATCGACAGACAAAACTGATGTTTTATATTTGAGAAAAAACACAATTCAAAAAAAAAAAAAAAAAATAGATGACCAATAAAGAAAAAAAATTTACGAGAACAAATGTTGAACTTTGCTTTTAAATTGATTGGAAAAAAAAATTATCTTTTTATTTTTATTAGAGACATGGTTCATTGTAAACTTTACTCATGTACTGAGATTTGTTGGACGAGCTCAGATCATAACGCTAAAAATGAAATATAAAATATACCTATATATGTCTGAGTTGAATTGTTTACTTCAATATACTTGATCGTTAATTTTAGTTTGCTTTTACTGACTCTTTGTGTGCTTTATATACGTTCACAAACTATATAAACTCCTTTCATATATCAAACATGAAACTTAATTTAATTTCAAAATTTAATTTCATACATTAAAGTTACCTAATAACAATTATAATAATATTATACATAATGCAATAATACAGAAAAGACATAATTAGATACATCCTTTTACATCTATATCAGAATGTAGAATATTAATTAATTATCTCGATTTATATAGGTAATATTCAGAAATTATTTGAGAAAATGATAATGAATTTTAAAATTAATAATTTATTGCATTTTAAATTCAGCATTATCATATATCTAAGAGTAGGCATTTTTAATCAGATAAATATTAAATTTTGATGAAAATTGAAAAAACATGTGCACTTTAATTTAAAAAAAATTGTACCTACGTAATTTAAAAAAAAGTATTGAATTCAATACTTGATGTCATTGCGTATGTTATTAATTTATGTAAAATTGTAAACCCAATCAGGATTGCCACAAGAATTTAATTCTGTTTTTCCTTGACTTATTATCAAATCTATATTTGTCTACAATTCAATTTTACGAAATTTCTATTATTCAGAAATTATTTAATTAAATACATTTAGAAAATAAATACTTCAAATAGTTTATAACAAAAATTCAATTAAAATTTGTCAAAAAAATTAATTCTACAAAATTGTTAGTTAAAAATTAGAGAAATTTAAATTTTCAAAGATTTTAATTTGAAACCTTTAAAAAATTAAATTATTTCTGAAAATACATGCTATAACGCATTTAATATTCAATTATAATCTAAAATTTTAACTAAAATTCATTTTTAACTTAATTTTCATTACAAAATTCTACGAGAATTATTTAATTATTATTATTTCAATTATTCAATTATTTATATTATATATATATTTATTTATTATTTATTATTTATATTATATTATATTTTTCAATTATTTCAATTATTTAAATACAATAATAAATAATTTATTTATTGAATAATTGAATGTTTCTTGAAATTAAATTCTCATCAAAAATTTTATCAACAAATTTTTAGATAATTAAATTCTTTCGACGAATTTTAATAAAATTTTTACGAATAGTTAGGTACATTTTTCGAGAAATTTGATTAAAATTGTATTAAAAATATTTAATATTATTGAACTTATCACTTGGTGAAATTCTTATATATATTAATGGGTCAAAATAAGTGAAACCGGCCACTTGAAAAATTTTTATCTCCAATTTTCAAGTTATCTATGATTTTTAGTAGATATATGAGTACACTTTTTCCCCCTAAAATATTTTTCAAAAAAAAATTTTATTTTTGAAGTAATTAGGTATTGAAGTTTTAGGTCATTTTATTTTCATTTTATTATTACTTTGAAACAAATAAAGATAATTAAGTAATTTTTTTTTTAAATTAAAGCTTAAAGTCTATACTTTAAAGATGAAATAAAGCGATTGCTAAAAAATGAAAATTTATAATTGTTATTAACAATTCTTTTAAACAATTGCAAATTGAAGAATGTTCTCAATGTTTTTGAAAGATTAAATTACGATATATTGATGCGCAAAACTATAAGGATTCATTTAAAAAAAAAGAAAAATGAGTAACTTCCAATATTATAGAAATTGTGTAGATTTTGCTGACAAAATGCAAGCAAAAATTGACTCAAGTTCCTGGAAAAAGATAAAATTGCAAACGAATAAATAAGATCTTCTTTTGTTTTGTTAGAAACTTCACGCTTTCAAGCGGATTTTTAAGATTAAAAATCGATTTTGGCCTGCATTTTGGCAGAAAAATCTACACAATTTCTATAATATTGGAAGTTACTCATTTTTCTTTTTTTTAAATGAATCCTTATAGTTTTGCGCATCAATATATCGTAATTTAATCTTTCAAAAACATTGAGAACATTCTTCAATTTGCAATTGTTTAAAAGAATTGTTAATAACAATTATAAATTTTCATTTTTTAGCAATCGCTTTATTTCATCTTTAAAGTATAGACTTTAAGCTTTAATTTAAAAAAAAAAATTACTTAATTATCTTTATTTGTTTCAAAATAATAATAAAATGAAAATAAAATGACCTAAAACTTCAATACCTGATTACTTCAAAAATAATTTTTTTTTTTGAAAAATATTTTAGGGGGAAAAAGTGTACTCATATATCTACTAAAAATCATAGATAACTTGAAAATTGGAGATAAAAATTTTTCAAGTGGCCGGTTTCACTTATTTTGACCCTAATGTATTAAAAATAATTGAAATTCTGCGATAAGTTTTATTATTTGTGAAAATAATTGAATTCCTAAAAAGAATTTTATTATTTATGAAAATAATTGAATTATTGTGAAGAAATTTATAAAAAATTTGTAAATAATTGAATTCCTGTAATTTTTTATTATTTGTGAAAATAATTAAATGTCTGCGTAGAATTTTATTAAATTTTTTAAAAATAATTTTAAATAATTTTTTTGGAAAATTTTTTAAACTAATTGAGAATTTTTCAAGAGTTTTATTATTTATAAAGATAATTTAAATTTTGACGAGAATTTTTTGGAAATTTTAAACATAAAATTGAATTTCTGTGAAGAATTTTATTACTTTTAAAAATAATTTAATTTGTCCAACGCCTTCGTGGAAATAGAACTATTGTACGCTAGGCACCAATGGAGGAATGTAGTACATTTCCCCACTGGTGGTTTGGCCAGTGGAGAAATGAAGTCATTTCCCCACTGGTGGTGGAATGAGAAATTGACTAATCGATTTTTTATTTTATATTAGAATTAGAACATTTTAGGAACAGAATTTTGAGGACACTCTGGGGATCTTTAGGAACACTTTCAAAACATTCATTTTTGAAAAATTTTTTTCCAAAATTTTTTTTCAAATTTTTTTTTCTATTTTTAGATTTTTTTCAAAATTTTTTTCAAAATTAGATTTTGTTTCACTCTCAGTTATTGCTATAACATCATTGTAATATTTTGATTTCAATAAATAACGAGTAAAGTCAACTTAAAATTTTGAAAAATTAATAGTTTAAATTTATTATTTATAAAAAAAATTTTTTGCAGTTGTTGGACAAAATAGTATGTGCAACTTGTGGAGAACAGCGATTTTCGCTCGCTCGATTGCTGCGCGCGCTACGCTTGCGCAGCAAACTTCGAGCTCGCGAGAAATCGCCCTTGTTCTCCACTCGTTGCACAATCAACTATTCTCCAAAGTTTAAGTTTTTTTATCCCACATGCACAAAAATGGCGCTTTCTGATAGCAGACGACAGGGAGGAAAGTCATTCATTTCTTCGACTATTGGACGACGATTGGAATCTAGAAATATCGCAAACCTATGAAAATAAACAAAATTGCTGACGAGGGGAATCGAACCTACGACCTACGGACTAACAGACTAACGCTCTAACTACTATGCTAACGACACATGTGTACAGTAAAGTATTAATGTCGTAGCCACATTGTGAAAAACCGCACTTCATAAAATGCCTAGACGTTTCATGAAGTGCAGGCACATTGTGAAAAAAATATTTACTTCGCCATGTGTCCAATATTTTTGGACATTTCATGAAGTGCAACAGCCAATTATGCATTTTGTGAAACTAAATAAAATTTCACAATACGTCCAAATATAAAATGCATTTCATGAAATGCCCAAGTCGTTGAATGCCGATAATGAAGAAATTGTATTAACTTTCGTAGTATTATTTCTACGGTAAGTATAATCTCAAATTAAAATCTGATTCCCCACCTTAACAGCATGTGATTGCTACAAAATTCAATGTTAATTTTTTCGACCACTTTTCTCTTAAAATATTAAATAAACTAAGCTAGTTTTTTGTGAATAACTCTAAAATATCATAAAGAAGGGCAGTGATGTGAAAAAGTTTTAATATTTTTAAAATTATTTATTAAAAAATAACTTTAAAATTATCAGTTCTCAAAATCAGTTTCAATCAATTTCTCGTCTTTTCCGATTTCAAAGTATTTTTTTATAATTTATTTTAGAATTATTAAAACTTTTGCACATCACTGCTCTTCTTTATTATATTTTAGAGTTATTCACAAAAAACTAGCTTAATTTATTTAATATTTTAAGAGAAAAGTGGTCGAAAAAATTAACATTGATTTCTGTAACAGTCACATGCTGTTAAAATTACAAAGGATAGCAACGAAGAAGCATTGTCTGACTAAAATTTGTTTCTACCTCTCAAAATAAGAAATCAATTATACTTACAGTTTGTCTGACTGAATTCGTCTTCAACAACTGGAAAATTGTAACTAAATCATTTTGTCTGTTTAAAACTTTTTTCACTCACTTATACTAAAGTTAAAACATTGTCACAATAAGCCTGACTGCAATTGCTTGTACGTATTCCTGATCCAGAAAT